GTGAGATCCAGTCTCAAAAAGAGTAAAATATATAAAATGAGGAGTCACGAAATATCCCTATCTCATTAACAGACTTCTCAACCATTTCTCAGCCCTGCCTTCACTGATATGCAGCAGAAACACAGTCTGACACCAGGTGATAGCCACAAACTGAACATTTCTCTCTCTCTCTTCCTGAACAAACTGACTGATCTTGTATTGTGCACTTGGGACTCACCAGATGGTCAGGGTTCTAGAAGTCAGTGACAGCACAAGCTGGCTATCATCCACTGGGAAGATCCGGCCAAAGACTTTAACATGCATCAGTGTTTGCTAACAGCCCAGGATCAGATGGTCAGAGTGGAGCTGGAGGCCAACTACAGCAGAGAAGCTGGTTCCTCCCTTGTCACACCTCTGCAGTCTCTCAGTCTCCCATTGCTCTTCAGTTGAGCAAGTCAATGATAAATTTACCTTTGTGTCGGGGATGCTGGCACATTACACTTCATGAGATCCTTTTCAGCACATCAAGACCAGACTTCAGAGACTTATCTTCTGCCACACACAGATACTTACTGTACTCAATCTTACCTTCAGGTGCATGATTCACACAGATTAGGACCCTGGATTCCCTGTCGAGTTCATTTCCCCTTGCCAAATCAGTGAGCTGCTCCCTAACTGGAAGGCGTCCTGGAAAACAGTTGAGACACTACACCTCAACCAGTGCTTCACACTGCACCAGGGGCTGTCATCAAGAACTCCATGATAATCAAGGTTTCCGTCTGAGTCTGACCCCAATGGTGGGCATTGGTCATAAAGAATTCCCATGGCTGCTGTTCTTGTAGAGGCAATACTCAGCATCAGGCCTGGAAATGCCTACTTACCTTCCCACACTGGAGCAGAACAATGTTAATGCAAGGTCAAGTATCAGTTATAAATGCCTCTATGAGATGGAAAAATGATGCAGAATTCTTGGATCAGGAGGTGGGAGGCACCATGGGAAGCCTGGATGAAGGAGGCTATGGAGAAAAATACACAGATGTCATTAGATCTGCCAAAGGCCATGACAGACAAGACCAGCAGAGGACCCCACTGCATGATGCAGCCACCCTTCTCTTGCAACACCCTTCTTCAATAGCCCAGAATCAGAATCCCTTCCAAAGCAGCCTCGTAGTTCTCTACCTTGACATATGCCAATCACAATCAAGGCCTTCCTCCTCATTGCTGGCTATAAAGCTGAGGTCACATTTTGCTCTGTTTGAGATATTTGTTCCTGGTCTCACTTCTTCAACACCTGCCCCAGCAAAACCTCCTTTTCTCCACTCATTTCAGGTAAGCTACTCTGGACACACTCTACCCTCTCTACGGGTCCTCTCATTTCCTCTTTATCCTCTCCATCCTCCTTTTTCCTGTTCCTCCCCTCATCTCCATTCTCCCATCTCCCAGTGGATTTACAGTTCCTGCAGTTCTTCTGAAAGACAGTCAGAAAGCAGTTTGGAGGTGATGAATGAATCAAAGAAGAGGGAAGCCTGAGATCTATATGCAAGTCTGTCCTGTTGACAGAGGCAACCCTTTTAGATGTTGTGGAACCCTGGTCCCTCAGGAACCATGAGGGATGTAGACATTCATTGGGTCGATGCAACACGTGACTCTCAGGGATGTTCAGCGACAGTGCAGGGGCAGCAGTGAGGTGAAGGATGGGGAAGATGGCAGCTGAGACCCTAACCTGGAGGATGGATACTGGAACCTGTAGTCCTAACATATCATCACACAGGACACAGATTTCCAGCCTGGATCCTACCTGTTGCACTACACCACACCAAGACTGTAGTTCAAATACACCAGTTCACTTTTCCCAAATAAAACCCGAAAGAATAAGGAAAGTGCCTCTCTTAGTGACTTTAACAGACAGGACTTACTCAGCACTGAGGAGGATGGGACTCCACTGACCAATAGTGCTGCATCTTTCTCCTGCTTCACCCCAGATCTGTAGGAAAGAACATGATGTTATTTCCAAGTCAACATCCTACTTGTGTGCCTTGACACATGGTAGGAACCATCAGAGCAGGCCCTCTCCTCCTCATTGCTGGCTCTTCCTAGCTCCCTCCCACTCTGCACTTCAGGGGAGGTTTGTTCCTGCTCTAGACTGTGCATGGCCCCTGTCACAGGTCAGCACACACATCTCCTTTGTTGACAGGAAGTTCCTCAGGACAGACTCTACTCCTTATTCTACACCAACTCTCATGTCCCCTATTCCTGTCTCGAAACTGTTT